GCGTATTTACGAACTTACGAATTTGTCAAGCAAATATATTGTGCTGCCCCTACAATAACTCCGGGTGTACAACTTCCTTCCAATCAACTATCGGGAGGTACTCCGTAAATAGCTACCAGAACGAAATAGAATAACAAAGTATCCAAGAAGATAAGGCTACAGATGGAAAAACGCATGGAATTTCTCACACACACGCGCGCTTGGAAGCAAGAGCCGAGAGTCAGACGGGTAAGTAAATTTTATTGCGCATGGAGCTAGACACATACAGTGTAGACACGAAATCATAAGCAGTCGTGTATAGAGACGATAAGCACATTAGCAAAGAGATATACAAACGTGTATACATATTTGACATACACAAAAAGTGTATGTGAGTGCGGAAGAGATGAGACAGCCAAAGCTAATAGCACACCACTTTAAGTGTGGGAAAGCTAATCGCAGAAGATATCTTGTAAAAGATAACCAACACGTCACAAAATTAATGCGCACTGGTGCCCAACCTGGCAAACCAACAGTAGACAGTGAATTTCCCAATAAAAAAGGACTAAATGACGCTATTTTTTCTGACCAAGAAGATATTTGGGAAGTGTACATCTGTAAACTCAGATGACACTAAAATAAATGTTCAATAATGAGCAATCATTGAAGCGGACGTTAAATAGCACTGATTAACGCCCTGACAACGCGAGGAGAGGCTGAGTCTGCGCTTCTAGTAAGAGCGTCAACAGAGTGTATTCCCTTTATCAAGTGTCCAAGTGTCGTCAGAACTTTTCCTTAAAAAAAAATGTCCAAGAAAGTTTGAGCCCCAGTGGGATTAAGACAGCACCAATACTACCTTTTCAGCCAGTCTCCAAGAGGGGCCTCGATGCAAGCAGAATTCATCTCCAAATACACTATCATTCAGGTGATAAATTTATCATGGAAACAAAGAGAAAAAAAGGAATTGTGGCAGAGTAGAGGGAGAATAACCCCCCCCCCTCCCCTCCCCTCCCCCACCCACCCACCTCTGTGACAGTTCTTATTTATGGACCCATCCATTCTTGCCGTTTAATAAATGGTGTTAAAAAGCCGGTAGAACAAAGTTTGTCGTAAGTAGCGCAAAAGGTCCGAAATGTCTAATGAGGTGGGGAAGGAAGCAGTGACTAATCAGACTTGATGTTTGTACCTCATTAATAAATGGAGGATAGCGGCTTTAGTGAATGGGCACATACCTATGACGTCGACATATGCCGTGGTTCTCTGTGAATAAATGAGACAGCGCTCTTAGCTTGGAAAGGTTAATTGCATATTATTATTGCCCATTGGCAAGGGATGCTCTGGGTGAATAAAACTGTGGAATGCGGAAAACGTGCCCATACCCGTGCATTCAGTATGTATGGAAGGTGCTATTATTAAAATATATGCCTCCATTTCGAAGTTGTAACTTCTTATCAGAACTAAGGACAATCATCCGGTTGACTCTCCTAAATTAGTTTGAAAACGCATGTTAATTTAATAACGTTTTCATAAATGAATTGAGTAATATTAATACAATTCCCTTCTCTGTGTCCAGGGTCAAATACAACAGCATATCGACAGTTGATTTTCAATCGCCCTGCCTTGTTATGAAAGACCTAAGTGACTGTCTACTCGCAAATTTTGGCAAAGTGGTTGCCTATTGAAAGCCAATGATCGTGGTGTGGATCCAAAAGAAAGTCTACAAATACTGGTGACTTGAATCACTGCGACGTAAGAACTAGACGTGAACTTAATAAAGGTAATTTAACTCAAGCATATCTTATTTTATAGATGGAAGAAGGAAAAGGAGATTATTGACCATTTGAACGTTTACGAGATAGACGCACACACACGGAGATAACTTTACAAAATCAGGAGTGGTGAGAAAAGGGTAATTTGCAGTGAAAATATTAAAGCACGGGCTACACGATAGATTTAACCCCACGCGGTGTACCCTGAGCAAATTGTTGACTTCTAACTTTAAACTACCATGATCCCACTGTTTGTCATATTTGACTGCTTCCCAGTTCTCACCTTACCTCTTTTCCCTACTTTTGAATCTATCTCTTTTACAACTGTGAGTCATTCTCCCAATCCTCCACTTCAATTTTTCTCACTTTGATGCTCCTACCCTCTGTGAAGCCCGAAGTCAACTAAAGGAGTAATGATAACTATCAAAACGCCTGCCATTTGTTATAAATAAATATTTCACGAGAATATAGCTTTCTTTGGGCATTCAATTGAAATTTAACATGCTAAAGCAAATAAATTACTAATCACCAGTAGTGCAAAGATTGAGTTTACATTTAATTTTTTAAACATCGTCAGCGAATATATGAGAAATCGTTTACGTTTAAGAAGCGGCATGTGGAAAGAACAACTAAATTTTTTTCAAATAAATAAATTCGCTAATAATTATTAAATTTATTTTATCAGTACGGGTAATTTCGAGCACTTAAAGAAAAGCAGATATTTAGACATCTCGCTAAGGAACATTTAAATTGACTGACAATTCCTATGCATATGGGTAGGTTTCACGATAAAATCAAATCACGTGTTTGTGTCCTTCCCATGATTAATTATGCACCAATCAGCTTTCGAATTCAATCTACTTCCAGTTGCTTCCTTTACTCTGTGCGTTAGAGTGAGGAGGTATGTCAAACTGGTGATTTTTGTTAGCTTACTCTTTTTCATTCTCATCAAGCATATGCTTGTCCGTCTTCTTCATGAAGTAGCCTAGAATAAGGTAGTGCTTCCAACATCTCCAAAAGTTAACAATCTTGTTTTCATCAATTTCGTCACCGGCGATTAGACCCCGATCATTGTGTGATTGACTCGAACAATTTTCCTCTGGCGTGGAAGGCAAGAAGAGAAGATTTCCGCTGTCCAAGTGAATAAGCTGCTGAAATATTAGGCCAAGGTAGGGAATACAAGGCATCTTTGCAGCCTCCAAGTCTCTGCGGTAGGCACTGAAGTTGGGTGGTAGCATATAGGCACCCATTTCATTTAGCCTCTAGAATCACACAAAATGATGCAAAAGGAAAATAGTTTTCACTTATTGTAGCTATTGTAATAATGACAGATAAGCTTACCATTTTAATCTTTTTCGTTATATGCTGTGTAGGAGCGTTTTGGAGACCGAGTACTACTGCCAGAAAAGAGCTGAAGTTGTTCATGCTCTTCAGGGTCTGTTAAAAAAGGTAATATTAGGAAGTATTAACCACCTGATGGTCAAAATATATAAAGTACAAAACTAGATGCTTTTGCGCAACATAGAGGTGTCATTTGTCATAAGGTCTTTTAACCCATCTCGCTACGTCTCAAACCTTTCTCACTTCTATCGCACTCTTTTTCCGAAACTGATCGAACGTAGCACAATACAATAAATAATTAATAATTAAACGAAATCAGTTAGACTGCGCAGAAATGTTATTTTCTAGCCTCGGCAAGAGCACCAATGTGTGAGACCATAATAGCTTAATTCTCAAAAGTGAGGCTGATCTTCCTCACTGCAATGGTAGAGTCTAATTTCTAAAATGTGATCTAAGTTTCCACTAGAGATTGTTAGGTTGAAGTTAGCTCATAACCGGATGAGGAAGAAATAAGGAGAAGTATACTTACCTCCAAAGACACTAAAATGGAGTAAACAAAGACTATATAAAATGTGTGCTCATCGTCTTTGCGTTGCTCATTTTTGGAGGTCAATGTGTCGCCCTTGTGGTAGTAACATATGTCTCGCATATTTGATAAAAAGCTCATGAGATCAGCTTGTGGTTTCATCTTGAAAAAGATGATAAATAAACGTGCTAACCATTTGTGGAAGTTCCCATTCCATTCTGCCAAAACCCAACTGTCTGATTTTATTTCTTGAATTGCTGCTGTATGCATAAAAGTACATATCGGCATGAGTTGCCTTGTACTTTAAAAGCGGTTCTTAAACGCAGTTTCGAATTTGATTGATTCCCGATCAAGCCTCAAGGGGAGGAAGTTTTAAAATTATTGAAAACGAGAATATAAAAATGGATCAGATACAATCGAGAGGGAAAGGAAATCAACTTTTCAAGGTTGATTTTCGCCATAAGTGCCTTTCACTTTTAAGACACTATGTTTTAAAAGGTATACAGCGCTCAATCCAAG